CAACTTTTTCCAAAAAATCTATCTCAGACAGGCAAACTATTGTTGCAGCATTACAATCTTGTTTACAATTTTGAGCTCCAAATACCGCTGTTAAGTTTTTATTGAACAGATATTTTTTACTTTATTCGCAACTGAGTACTCTGTGCAATTCTCAAAAACTGTCACATTTATATTTCGGGCATCACAAGTTGGGAGGCACTGGAATCAAGAAAAAACTCACTGAGTGATGTTAACAAGCTGAAGCACTTGTAAGGTAGCATACACCGTCAAATAGACACAGTAGACACCGATTACTGTACCGATGACTACCACGTATTTATGCCTTTTGAGCACATGTTTATTGTCCAAGCGGCGTTCACCTGAAAATTTCATATTATTAAGGTAAACCATCTTTTGTAAGGACTATCCCACCTTCCCCTGAGGTTCTCAATTTGAGATGTTCTAACTCAGCGGTTTGTTTCAATTCTGCATCTACAACGCCTGACACTACTCTGAAATTGGTTCTCATTAATAATACAGTCACTGAGGATACGGTACTTACCGGAGAAGTATACTGTACGAATAGGCAGTTATTGCGAGACATACGACGCAAAATACAACAATACCCAAGTAGTATATAAACTGAGCCGAACTTGACGACTCCAGGCGATGGATGCACGATGCGGTGGAATTTGCTGAAATTTTAAAGTCAACAGAGACAAAAGTTAGCTCGAAGCGGTATGGAGTATAAGAAGTAGGGGAAAGCTTAGGCTTCGTCAATTTTTGCCTGTGCCAGCGCCGTGCTTGAGCCGTGCCGGAACCGGTCGATCAATAAAAGGCGTCGTGTGGGTCCCGACACGGCGCTAACACTTCTCTTGTAGGGCACTGGCACCGCACCGGCACAAGAGCAACACGCTGATAGCACGGAAAATCTAAAATTTAGTTTGTCAGTAAAAGGAACCAAACATAAATCATGTTTTAAAACACTCAATTTTTTCAAATTTCTCCAATTTTTTTTGCAAGTTGGAAATCTAGTATGAATTTATCTCCATAGTAGTGATTTTTTCGACATTCAACAAAAGTTTATGAATCTCACCGCTGATCGTGCATTCATCGTCAATCCAAAGGCTTCGATTCTGTAGTCCAGCGAGCATATTGATGAAAGTCATGCTCGACGAGAAAACCCAAATACATATAATCAAGAAAACCACTCGTTTCCTAGATAAGAATTTTTCAGGTTTGGCAGAAAATAAGAAAATGTGCTTCATATGTTTGAGTGCCCCACAGTCTCTCGCTAGTTGAAATTTCTCAGAATTTCTCGGTGACAAGGCTCCTTTTGCTGTTCTTTCTTCCCACAAAAACTGGCACTTCATAGAATGAGCATTGAAAAGTCAAAAATAACTTTGATGTTTGGCTTTG